AAGTTAGCGCGACGCTGCACCCGCTCTGCAGACAACGTCGCTTGCGACAGTCTCCAGCTGTCAGGTCAAACGTGGTCCACCGCAAGGGGGAGGCTAGCAGAAAAGACGCGTGAGCCGCACACACGGGAGGCCTGGCCTTGAAGTGGCTGAACAAACGTAGAGAGGGCGCAGGGAAGTGTTTCGATAGAGGGGGGGGAGGGGAATGCCGAGTTAGCAATCGCTATGAGTCCCTCATCTCGGTTCTTACACTTAGTTCAGTCTCCCGCCAAGGGGCTGCAGATGGCTATACGGACAGATCCAACGAGTAAAATTGTCAGACCATACAAACGGGGGATGTGTGTGCCTACTGGTCGGAGGTCGGTCGCTTATGAAACCTCCCGTGTGGAGTCTTGTTAAGCAGTCGGTCAGCTGAGCCTCTACTTTCTCTGTGCGATATTTTTCTTTGTCTACTTTCTTGAGTTTCGTTTGATCTGATAGGATTGTTTGCATCTTCCTCATGTAGTCTGATCTTTTCATTAAAACGACATCTGTTCCTTTATCTGGTCTAGTAACCAGGATGTCTGTGTTCCGTCGCAGCTCTTTTAACTTTTCTAGGTGCGCCTTTGTCAGTAATCCTCGGTTTGTACGTCTCTTGTTAAAATCAACACTAGTGAACTGCAGTTACCAGTATGTGAACAAGAGACCTGGATTTCGGCTTCCTGCAGGCACCTACAGGCTATATCTTAATATACCTGTTACTGGTTTTAGTAACTATGGTTACTAGAATTAGCACTTGAGCACAGGCAATTACTTACAGCAACATCATCTTAGTCTTCGTGGTCCAACTCCTAGTTGAAACGGACACAGCCTGGGAGGATAGAGTTGAGAGGGCGAAAAACATGGCAAGCCCTGATGTTCTCGGGGCCTCGAAATAACATAAATGCAAATTTTCCATTCCTTGCTGAGAACAAAGGAGGTATGAGCTCCAGCGTTGATTTCAACTAAGCGCCACCTCTGACAAATGTTAGCATCAGAGATAATACCGATACTACTAAGACTCGGCTACATTGATAGTCAGTAGTAGTAGAAACTGTAGTAACCGTATCAGCCTCAGCCTCATTCAGCCTACTAAGGGTGACCTTAGGGTAGACAGTGCAGTAGCACCCGCGCAAAGTCTACTGTCACTTAAGAATAAGTTAGGCGGTGTTTCGGATTGCATTTGATAAAGCAGCCTACGCCGGACCCCGCTTAGTCTTCGAGACTCCGAGAGAAGGTGAAAAAA